AATATAAAAAATCTGTGTAACATTGTTTTTTCAATAGAAATAAACAACCAATCAAAATAAATTTCTATCTTGCTATGCATGAATATGGTAAAGTGAATTTACATTTATATCACGTATCTTGTTCTGTGCTATTAGCATCAATTAACTGAGTAATCATATTTTTCAATAATTTAATCTCGTCTTCCAACTTTTTAATGCTTCCTTCTTCTGGATTAATTTTATCTTCTTCATATTCTTCAGCCTGTATAGCTTTTAACAGAGTTTGGGAAAGAACTGGCTTTTCAAATCCCTGCCAATTTCCAATTTGAATTTCACGAATTAAGTCACGAAGTTCGCTTACATGAGCTATATAAATTCTACAATTGATAATATGTGTGTTTAGTTTTTTTAAATTAAATATATGCAAGAAATTGAATGACCTACATTACTTCTGGAAACCAATCCTTATTCCTTCTTTGATGAGGCAGCATATAAAATAATTCAATTTCTGCCAAAATCTAGTATCAAATATAAAAATATATACATTAAATAAATTTTATGATAAATATTTTTTTGTGAATATTTAAATAAAAAAAAATTTTTTTAAATACTTCGGCTTTTTGAATTAAATAAGATTCATTATTATTTGTTTCCGAAATTTCATTAGAAAGCAACCCAATAAACAAATTCATGAAATAAATAGTCGTAAAAAATGAAAATGAAAAACTTAAAATGATCAAAGTGAAGTTTTCTTCTAAATCCCAAGCAGATATTGGAGAAGAATCACCTGTAAACAGAGATTAATAAAATAATTATTAAATTAATCAATGATTACAAAATTAATCAAAATTATTATTAAGTTAATTAAATGAATTTATTACTATAATTATAATTAGAAATAATTACCAGTAAGCATTAGATAAACCCCCAAAATCGAAGTTCCAAACATATTGAACATATTAGTACTTGCGGTTGGTGTCTGAATGAACGATGGTTGAGTTGAAATAACTCCATCTTCACTAACAGAGCTATATTTTGTTGCTAAATTCCACGGATCATTTGGATCCGATGAAAATCTTGGCTCATCCAACGAATACGAAGCACTAGGTCTTAATAATAAGTGTAAAGAATGGGCAAAAGCAAATACAACAAATGCAATAATTGTCAAGAAAGAGAAAGCTCTTTTTGCGACACCAAATATCATTGCAAAATATACACCAATAAATCTGAAAGCACGAAAGTAGAAAAGAAATTTTAATTCAAGTAATAAAGTAGCAATAGTTGTTGCCCAGATGGAAGCTGTGCCATTTCGGATCCAGACGACAGATGTTAATATTGTAAACGTTATTGCTCCTATATCTAATTAAAATCATTATTGATGCATTTAATAAATTAGTAAAGTATTTAAATTTTATATAATCTTAAATAAATTTGATAATTCACCAAAATAGTTCCAAGGTGATTTAATATATTCATCAGGAGAATGAATGAGTTGTCTAAATTCGTGAACCAAATGTAAAATTCCCAAACCAATTGCCACACACAGCAGAAATTGTTGTTCCCATACTGTCAAAAACTCACTCAAAGTAACCACGCTAGTATAACAACAAAGAAACACTGTATAAACAGACCAAGCAATTAAATAATATCTTAATCCATAAGTATCCCATTTAAAGTTTATTAAAGCTTCTCCATTCCAATATTTATATAGTTCTAGATCTATTGAATTTGCAAAAAAACTTGATGAAGGGTTTTTCAGCTCATCCCAAAAGTCATATTTTTTGGGATAATTTACAAACTTTGGAAGAGGAATCAGAAGTTTGATTGTAGCCTCAGAATATGAAATAGTGCTCTCACTGCTGGTGGGTGGGTGATGAATTTCTTCTTCGGATTCGGATTTTCCTCTAACTTTATTCCAACATTTAGTAATTTTTGAAATAATAACATCAATTAAAGAAGTTTTTTCTGTTAAATTATTATAAGTTCCAAAATGATATAGATGTTGTTCAGATGATAAACTGACAATTTCACTATCTAATATCAACTCAGGATCAGCTAACGGCAACACAAATGCAGTTTGAGATAAAAATCTAGCTAAATATATTGGATGCCTCTGTAATAACTGAGGAAAGACTTCAATTATAATGGATAATAACTGAATATCTGAGGTAGATTTCAGACCATCGACTGTGAAAATTAAGTCATGGCACGCTTTACACAATTTTTCAACCCATTCGTCTTCTTTCATAAATAAAAAGGTTTCCATTAAAATTGAACCATAATTGATTATGAAAAATTTGTCAGAGATATAGTCTTCTAGCAATTCTCTAAAAAAATAAGATTTATTTCCTTCACCGACACCGCCAAATTTCAAGGTTTTATTCTTGATTATAATCTGAAATTTTGATTCAGGAAATGTCTTGGTATATGATTCTTTTTCTTCTTTTTCGTCTTTTTCGTCTTTTTCGCGAAAAGTTTTTTCGAGTTTTTCGAGAAAAGTTTTTTCTAAATTAAAATTTTTTTCATTTCTAATCTTTCCTCTCCCCCAATAATAATGTAATCTAATTCCTTTTGTTTGATAAACAGTCCAAATCAAAATCCCAAGTGTAGTTAACATGAGTAAATCATCATTTTTAAGACATTCGCATCGTA